CCACCAGTCTGTGCTTCCCAAAGTGCTGGAATTACAGATGTGAGACACAGTGCCTGGTCAAAAACTACTTATAATTTGTTTCTAAGCTTGCTTCCAATAGAATTTAAAATGCTTTAGGAATAGAAACTTGGTAGCTTATGTGCAGAGTGTGAGAACTTAGTCTAAATGAATATTTCTTTTTGGGTTCATAATAGGATTTTTATAGACATACTGTTATTATTCAGTATGTCTATAAAATTCTTACCAGGTATTGACAGGTGGAAGTTATTATCAGGTATTTACAGTTGGAAGATGTAATGGATTTAAAAATCTCCAAATAGCTATGTTCCATAGGAATCTTAGCACTAATATGAAATCCTGCTTTAACTGACAACATGGAACCTAGCAGCAAAGATTTATTGAGACATAAAGTGAAGGAAATACATGATTTGCATTCAAACAATGCCTCTTATCCATCATTTGGAATTCTTTTTTTCTTCAAATGAAAAGGAAAGAGTAATTTAGTGGTTTGCTTCCCTGATTGTGTCTTAGACTCATCTAGGAGACTTAAAATAGGCTGATATTTGGATCTACCCCTTGAGAATCTGATCCAATTGCTTTGGGCTGGGGTCTTGGTATCAGTATTATTTTTAAAGCCCAGTGATTTTTTAAAATATATAATCAGGTAGAGGACTGCCTAATTTGAAATTGCAAATGAAGAAGAGCTAATGAAATTTATGCATTCATTTCATTAGCTCTTCTAATTGTGTCTCATATATGTAATGTAAAACTAGTATTTGAATTAGGCAAAAACTTGTATTAGGCCTTTCCTCCATTCTTCAGTCTTCCCAAAATACCTTTCATGTATGCAATTGTTTTTGATCCTCCACGAACCTTCTCCAGGATGTCTTGACCTTTCCTCCCCCTTGGCGGCGTGCACAACTCTTTTATTTTAACCCTTTCTCATTTTATTGTGGTTTTGTGTTGTGAGGTCTTTCTGACTCCTCACCTCACACTGAAAACTCCCGAGGTGGTTCAACAATAGCAAATACCCTATTTGCCAGGCACTATTAATAATGGAGAATATCATGTCCCTTTTCTCCTGGAGCTTAGAGTTCTGGGGAAAGAACAGCGATAAGTGGTGTGCTGGGTGCTATGACAGAAGGGTGTAATATTTTGTGGGGGCACACAGTGGAGCTTCCTGATCTATTTTGGGGAGAAGAAAGAGGGTCTGGGACTAGAAAATAGGTGAGTCTTAATTCTAAATTCCTTGTGCTGGGCACATATTAACAACCATTGCACTTTGGTGAATACATGACTGAGGAGCTTACTGACTGAATATATGAATAAAAGCATATTTTCATTGAAAAGCAAGTAAGTGCATAAGTATGTACTTTGGAAGGGAAGAGATGTTAAGATGTAGACTTTTGGGTTTCCTAGAGGAAAGAAGGAGGGAAATAAAGCTTCTCGTGATCTTTTCTTCTTTCATTTCTTAAATTCTTTTTTTTTGAGACAGAGTTTTGCTTTGTCACCCAGGCTGCCGTGCAGTGGCATAATCTGCACCTCCGCCTCCCAGGTTTAAGCGATTCTCCTGCCTCAGCCTTCTGAGTAGTTGGAATTATAGGCATGCACCATCACACCAGGTTAAATTTTTTTGTATGTTTACAAAAAACATAAGGTTTTACCATGTTGGACAGGCTGGTCTCGAACTCCTGACCTCAAGTGATCCACCTGCCTCAGCCTCCCAAAGTGTTTGGATTACAGGCGTGAGCCACTGTGCCCAGCCTCATTCCTTAAATTCTTAAAGTTATAAAATAGATCCTGACAGTAATGTGGTTGGAAGTGGCCTTACCCAGCCCATCTTCTACCTGTTTGTCCACCCCTGCCCTCAGTGATCCATAACTCTTGTTTGCTGTGTATTCTGGTAGCCAGGCTCCCCCAGTGTGAAGCCGCCTTGGGGAAATTTGTCTTGGAGCTGGATCATATCCTGCCATTGAAGTTCATTTTAGTGGAGGTTCCGTTAGAAAAACTGTGACAGGATATATCCCAAGGTCAGATGCATGTTTCTTCTGTCAACTTCACTTAGACAGGAACAGGTTTTGTTATGGTATAGAGTTCCTCTGTTCAGAATTCACATGAACCAGGACTTTGTACAAATTTATACAAACATGAATTGGAGCTATAAGTAAAAAACATTGTTTTGAGGCATTCAGTGTTTTTTTCTGTAAATCTGAGTGTTTTTGTCTTCTTTCTTCCTTTGTTCAATTTCCTCCCACCCACCCCCACCAGCTTCTCTCTCTCACTCTTGCTCTCTTACTCTTCTATTATAGATGAGGTCATTATGATTTGGAGCCAAGAGAAGTGCATTCCTGTAACTTTAAATCTCCATACTCAATTTGTGACTCTCCTTTTTTTAGAAGATGGTTATACTTTATAGTTGGAGGACAGCTTGCTTAATTGTGCTATTTTAGAATGCAGATATGAGCTTACTGTAGGAATTTTGTCAATTTGTGTAGAGGGCTTAATGCTTCCACACTTTTTATTCTCACTAATTTCAGATTTATAATTGCTTTCAAGTCCATTATGGGACGTGAAAAATGTTCTCAATTTGATTAGGTTATCAGCCACTTGGTTAGAGTTTCTGTGCCTGGTACTTTCGACATCCAGCTCCCCCATGATGTTCAGGGAAGCAGTGTAACTACTGGGAAGAGATCAGGTCAGGCTTCTTTCCTGACAGCAAGGTGAGGTGCAGGGGTGCTTTGAAGAAGGGCTTTTTGTTTTGTTTTGAGATGGAGTCTTGCTCTGTCGCCCAGGCTGGAGTGCAGTGGTGTAATCTCCTGCTCACTGCGACCTCCACCTCCCACGTTCAAGTGATTCTCCTGTCTCAGCCTCTTGAGTAGCTGGGATTACAGGCACCTGCCACCATGCCCGGCTAATTTTTGTATTTTTAGTAGAGACAGGGTTTCGCCATGTTGGTCAGGGTGGTTTTGAACTCCTGACCTTAAGTGATCTGCCCCCCTCAGCCTCCCAAAGTGTTGGGATTACAGGTGTAAGCCACCACTCCCAGCCTGCAGGGGTTTTCTAATATAAACTCTGTTATAAAATCATAATGGAGAGATAAAGGAGGGAAGAGAAGGAGGAGGGGGAAGGAGGAGAAGAAGAAAGAGATATAGAACGTAGGAAGATACCAACTGTGAGGGATGACCCACCTGTTATCCCAAGATTATGTGCCATAGGAGGGATAGCAGATGTTGAATGGCCAGGAAATTTGGGCATTAACTCTGCTCCTGTGTGATCTTAGTCAAAACACTACTCTCTTCTGGGCCCCACTCGCCTTGATTAAAGTGGGTTAGTGCCAGGGTTCTGCAATTCTGAGACTTTCTTCCAGGGAAGAGAGGACGTTTTTGGTGGCTCACACTTGAAATTATAGCACTTAGGGAGGCTGAGCTGGGAGGACCCCTTGAGCCTAGAAGTTTGAGACCAGCCTGAGCAACATAGTGAAACTCCATTTCTGTGAAAAAGAAAAAAAAAAAATTAGCCGTGGTGGCATGTGCCTGTAGTCCCAGTTATTTGGGAGGCTGAAGTGGGAGGATTGCTTGAGTCTGGGAGGTCAAGGGTGCAGAAAACCACAATTGCACCATGGCACTGTAGCCTAAGCAATAGAACAAGACCTTATCTCAAAAAANGCATAGTGCAGTGGCATGATCTTGGCTCACTACAACCTCTGCCTCCTGGGTTCAAGCAATTACAGGCATGTGCCACCACACCTGGCTAATTTTTGTATTTTTAGTAGAAGCGGGGTTTCTCTATGTTGGCCAGGCTGGTCTGGAACTTCTGACCTCAGGTGATCTTCTCTCCTCAGCCTCTCAAAGTGCTGAGGTTACAGGTGTGAGCCACCGTGCCTGGCCTCATTCTGTGTTTTCAAGATGTTCCTGCTAACTGGATTTTCTGATAATTATTTGGTTATGATTCTCACTACTTTTATTTATTTGCAAGTTATCCTGCCATAAAGCCTTCTCATATATGTGCCAACTCTGCATCTCCTGTGCTGCTAGATTCTCCAAAGTAGTGAATCCAATTAATTTGAATAAATATAATCTGGGGGAATAAAAGGTGTTTCTTCAGTGTGCCACTGAGCCTCTTCTCAAGCTTATCACGGACCTAATTTTCACTTGAAAGCACATCCCCTCCAAAAGAATGATCACATGCAGAGTTTCCTTTGAAGAAGCCCATGAATACAAGTTAAATAACCAATTAATTTCTAGGAAAACATTTCATTTCCTAGGATAGTCCGTGGCTTGTCAGAAATGGCAACATTCAAGCCCATGTCCAGATATTTTTTATTTCTGTTACAATAGGAAAGGAATTTTTTAAAAAATTAAATTTTTAGCTGGGCGCAGTGGCTCACACCTATAATCCCAGCACTTTGGAAGGGTGAGGTGAGCGGATCATGAGGTCAGGGGTTCGAGACCAGCCTGAGCAACATGGTGAATTGCCGTCTCTACTTAAAAATACAAAAATTAGCCAGGCATGGTGGTATGCACTTGTAATCCCAGCTACTTGTGAGGCTGAGGCAGGAGAATTGCCTGAACCTGGGAGGCGGAGGTTGCGGTGAGCCGAGAGTGCGCCATTGCACTCCAGCCCGGGTGACAGAGTGAGACTCTAAAAAAAAAAAAAAAAAAAAAAAAAAAAAAAAAAAAAAAAAAAAAAAAAAAGTCACACACACACACACATACACACACGCTTTACAAAGTATATGTCATACCTGAGTAATCAAAATAATCTCTAAACAGATGTTCAATGAAGTGGGAGAATATGCCTTTGTGGGAATGGAGATCAGAAAGATAGAAGATAAAAATGTAGTTCTTCAATATCCAACATAATTTTTATTTCATAAAATGAAATAACCACCTGGAATACTTAGCATTTCTCTTTGTGTTTGGCTGTGTGTGTGTGTGTGTGTGTGTAAGTAAGGTATAACTTATTTGCAAGCTATTCTGATTTCTTCCCTTATTTTCTAGGCATATTTTGAAAACAATTGCTCTGGGTCAGATGTTGTCCTTGTGTATATGTGGGACAGCTATCACTAGCCAGTATTTGGCAGAAAGATACAAAGTGAACACCCCCATGCTTCAGAGTTTTATCAATTATTGCTTGCTGTTCCTAATTTATACAGTGATGCTGGCATTTCGATCAGGTATGTCAAATGTGGAAATTACCTTTTCAACAAAATAATCTTCATAAAAATTACTAGAAAAGTATGACGCCTCTAAATTCTGTGAAAGTAGTGACTAGAGACTTATGTATAATGCTCTGAAATTGTTGATTAAAATAAGTAGCACCATACTGTTTGTAACAGAGAAGTTGTCAAAAAAGTGTGGGTTTTTGTTGTTGTTGTTGGTTTGTTTTTGTGACAGGGTCTTACTCTGTCATCCAGGCTGGAGTGCAGTAGTGCAATCTCCGCTGACCGCGGCCTTGACCTCCCAGGCTCAAGTGATCCACTCACCTCAGCCTCCCTGATTAGCTGGGACTACAGGCGTGTGCCACCATACCTGCCTACTTTTTGCTTTTTTTTTTTTTTTTTTTTGTAGAGATGGGTTTTGCCCCCGGGCGTGGTGGCTCACGCCTGCAATCCTAGCACTTTGGGAGGCCAAGGTGGGTGGATCACCTGAGGTCGGGAGTTCAAGACCAGCCTGGCCATCATGGTGAAACCCCATCTTTAAAAAAAAAAAAAAAAAATAGAGAGAGAGATGGGTTTTGCCATGCTGCCCCAGCTGGTCTCTAACTCTTGGGCTCAAGTGATCTTCCCACCTTGACCTCCCAAAGTGTTACGAATACAGGCATGAGCCATTGGGCCCAGCTTAAAAAATGTAAATGTCATTACAAGTTAGGTTCCCCCCACAATTTTAGAAAGATTTTAAAATATTAAGTCGATATTAAAAACACTTAAAGGCAAGAACCTTTCTCTCCAAAATATTTATTTCCATTAAATAAACATGCTAAATGGAGTATCAGTTGCATGTATAGATCAGGTCTCTGTTTTTTCTTTCTTTTTTTTTTTTAAACAGTCTCACTGTGTCACCAGGCTGGAGTACAGTGGCACAATCTTGGCTCACTGCAACCTCCACCTGCTGGGTTTAAGTGATTCTTGTGCCTCAGCCTCCTGAGTAGCTGGGACTACAGACGTGCACCGCCATGCCTGGCTAACTGTTGTATTTTTAACGCAGACGGGGTCTTAACCATGCTCCTGACCTCAAGTGATCCACTTCCCGAAGCCTCCCAAAGTGCTGGGATTTAGGCATGAGCCACTGTGCCCAGCTAATTTTTGTACTTTTTGTAGAAACAGGATTTTACCATGTTGCCCAGGCTGACCTAGAATTCCTGAGCTCAAGCAGCCCTCCCACCTTGGCTTCCCAAAGTGCTGAAATTACAGATGTGAACCACTGGGTCGAGCCAGATACATTATTATTAACCAAAGTCAGTAATTTACATTAGGGTTCACTCTTGGTCTTGTGCATTCTATGGGTTTAGACAAATGTATAATGGCATACATTTACCATGACAGCATCAAACAGAACAGCTCTACTCCCCCCAAATCCCTCCACTCCACCTAGTCATTCCTCCTTCCCGCCCCACAAACTCCTGGTAGCTACAGCTTCAATTTTTTTCGTGTGCGTTTTTGTGTTATTTTTTTTTTTTTTT